TAATTCAACCTCCCCAAGTGTAAATAAATGAATTAATTGAATTAATTGAATTAAATTCTGTCTTGGCAACCCTACAGAACCTAAAATAGGGTCTATTTGGAAGTTGTCTCTTGTAAATAAGTATACGTTTTGGGGCCTGATTTCCTTTTTAAAACACGAGTCTCAGCTTCCAAATAGACCCTATTTAAGCTGCACACGGGGGGGGGGGTGGTGAGTGGGGGGGGGGGGGGGGGGGGGGGGGTGGTGAGGGGGGGGTAGGGTGGGTCTGGTGGGGGGGGGGGGGGGTGGTGGTGACCCCCCCCCACCCTCAGAATGCCGGGGCCGGAACACAGAGAACTATCCAGGTCCGCGCCTGACCAATGCAAAGCCAAACTTCTTTCAAGCCAATCTCCTGGAGTCGACTAGACAGCGCTTCCAGAGCATGAGCAAGCGCCACAACATCGGTGAGCCCGTGCATGGGGGTCACTCCGGGTATCGGCAGCCTGGAATGAACTGTTCAGCTTATAAGCCCTGTAAGCCCTAAAGCGAAAACCCTAAACTCTGTAACCTAGGGCTCGGGGACCTTATGTATGGGGCTGCTGCAGCCAGGCATGAACCGTAGGGTTTAGCGCTGAGGGAGGGGCTTAGAACGTCAAGCCTTCGACACGCAGGGCCGATCCGACCATGTGGGGGTTCTCGCGAAGGTTCTACCTATAGGGTACTGGCAGGGCAATTACTACTACACTGTAGGTAAGCAAAGTTGCACGCAACCCTGTAAAAGCCCTACAGCCGATCGCTTGGTGGGCCACCCAAGCCCAAAAGCTCACTCGCACATAAGCAGCATTCAACATCCAGGTGACCGTATAACGAACAGGGACACATCACCACCAAGTGTTTTCAGGCCGAATGCAGGGATGTAACACAATGCCGTGCGCAGCTGCAGCCTCAAACGCCAAAAGCTGCAACTGCCCCCCAGCAAAAAACACAAGACCCCGAAGTCGTTGAAACTCATGTCAGTTGCCCGGCTCTCTGCGCAGAATCAGAATTATCCGGCGGCGCGAGGCCGTACTTGGTACGGCGTTGCGCAGCTGAGGGTTGGACTGCATGAGCCTTTCGTACCCTACAGCCTACAGATGCCTACAGCCTGCATGTTGGTACCGAAAAGGTCGTTGGAATCCCCGAGTTCATCCAAATTGTACCCCCAAAGCTTCCCTACTATGTCCTTGATTCTTGGGGCACCCTATGAGAACTGAGCCACAGGCAGCGCTGAGTTTACTCTAGGGCTGAGGGCTTCAGAACTAGCATAGCATAGGAGGCCTCGTTTTAAAAAGAGCAGCTATTTGGGGCAGCTTATAATGTATTTATGTAGCAAGACTGGTAACTATGGCTTGGGAACACAAGGCTACAAGCAGTCAGCCTCGCTTCGGAGCCGGGGCGTCTCCTGAACGCCTTCTGCTAAAGACGAGACGAGTTTGGGAACACAGCTCACCAAACCATTCAGATCTCTGATCCTGTGCTTTCAACCAGGAGACGCCCGAGCCCGGCCATCATTTGCAGCAGCCGTGCCGGCAGGACGGCGGTTTGAGCATAGCTTACACACTGAAAGCCCCCCAAAAAAAGTGACGGGTCCAACGCATCCAAAACCCACACCCTCGAAATCCCCCCCCAGCTCGCCAAAGCTGCAATTCTCAAGTCCCCAAACCCGCCTTGTGTGGGCTTACATTCCGCCTGTCACTCGCCAGACTGGCGGATCCAGCGCCTCAAGAGCTGAAGGGCTTGTAATAAACCCTTTAAGCCCTAGGGTTGAGGGTTTAGGGTTTAGGGTTTAGGGTTAAACCCTAAACCCTAAACCCCTAGCCCCCAAACCGGGTTTAGGGTTGAGGGTTTGGGGCCCTGCCGGCGTGTTCCGAGGTTTGGTTGTGGGACGCTCTGTGTGCGTCTTCAGAAGTAGGCTGCATTGCTGAACAACGCAAGCTGTCTTTTCATGCGCTGCTTAGAAACAAAGCATCCCCCTGCCATCACTGCAAAAACTCGCCTCGGCTTCCTGCCGAGAAGCGTTTGGAACAAGCAGACCCAGATCAGGTCTCCTTCCCCCTGACCCAACCCTTCCCCCCATGCCAAATTTTGCGACGGACGATCGGACTTTGGCTAGGTTTTGAAGAGTTCGGGCTTGCATGGGTTCACGTAAGGTACGGTTGTGGCCCCTGCACTTCCGAACTTTAAGTTGCGGGTTGTTGTCGACCTCCTACAATTCAACAGTCTGTGTTCAAACGGTGGTTTTCAGCTTTCAAGCGTGCGGTTGGCAGTTAGGTTCTGGAGCATGGGTAGACAAGCGAGGTCTCTTGAAAGCTGTGGATGCGCGCAACAATTTAGGTCCAAAAGACATGCTTCCAGGGCGAGAGGGAACTGCTGCCACTATCGAGCATGGATCTTGAATCGGGCGCCGTGCTGCTCAGAGTTCCTTGAACTCTTTGGCCCCCATGGATTTCAGGGCCTGCAAAGCAAGGATGTCTCGGACATTGCTACACGTTGCTGCTAGTATTTACTATTCTCACATGACTATTGTTACTACTATTACTATTATGAATACTATACTATTACTACTAATCTTTTTATGCGACTGTTACGACTGGTTCTATTCTTGCTAGGATTACTATTTTTGCGTCTACTACGAAGAAAACCCTTCTTGCTACATCTACTATAGGTGCTAGAACTACTCTGTAACCTACTCTCATTTACTGTTGCTTTCTAATTGCGATGATGACTATTCTTGTTGCATATATATATATGTGTATACTGCTACCCGACGTGTTTGAAAAGCTTTCGGACTTGGGAAGTTCGGGCCCTTTGGGGGGCTTCTGCACTAAGATATCGTCATGGAGAGTTGGAAAACTGCCAAAAGAGGTCGCGACATATACAACTATATGTTAAGCGTACACACATATTGTGCACCCCCGCCCTGTGATCCGTATACACAATGACGGAAATTACGGAAAAGATCGGATCATGCCCGAATCTGAAAAGCTAGCCTTGGCTTGTTGCAGCGTGCGGCTTCCGAAGAATGCATCAAATATGTGGCAGCATTTTGGGGTCATTCATCGCAAGGGTCCGATTCCATAATGTTTGCTCCAACACAGGTTTGCAGTTTGCTGGCATGACAATTTCAAGCACCTATTCTTGTGAGGTGAGCGACCATGACCAGGCTTCTTCATTCGTCCGCAATCTCCAGATTGTGACGTCGCAAGCTTGGACAGCGGTGGGTTCACTGCGATGGGCCTTGGCAGGTAGGAGAGTTTGTTCCTGCACAACCTACTTTCTGGCAACAGCAAGTCGTTGTAGGCGTCGGAGCAACTGGCTAGTTGGGAGATGCAAGCCCATCCTGCAGAGTGCGACAGGACCTACAACACATACTTTCTAACTGTCAGACTGACGATCAGAAATAGAAAGGAAAAATGGTAACACTAGTACACATATTGCGTAGTACGTAGTACATTGGTGGAGTTTCGAACGGCGCCAAGAATGGCCTCAACTGCCATACCTTGCGGGCCCTTTCGAGACAAGCCATGGCTCGATGCCGAATGCCCAGTTTCAGAAAACGGTGGCTTTCTTCGCCCTTAAAACGTTCGGTTTTTTTTTGTTCCTTATCCTAATGGCGTCCTATCGTGCTAGAGCAACAACCCTGAAACCCTAAGTCGTCCAAATGCTTTCGAGGAAAACGGTGCCTCCGAAGTTCTCAGAGGTCAACAACATTTTGCAGAGGTCATGTTGCAACACTTGCGGGATCACAAGGCGCTCATGCTGTACAGGCTGGTCGCTTGTGGTTCAAGCGGTTTAGTGGGGGCTCTATGGAATCTGAACGTCCGCGCCTAAGCCAAAACCCTTCAAACCCTAAACACCCATGAGCCTCTATAAGCCCTAAAAGCCCCACAAACCAAACCCTGTAAGCCCCGAAAACCCTACAATAAACTCGACAAGCCCCACAAGACCTATATTATTAAACCCTGACACAGCTTTACACTCTCATAAGATCCCCGCACCGGAAGTCAGCTGAAGCAGTGAAGATCGCTTGAAGACCTATACCTCGAGGCTTAGCTGCAACCCTAAAACCAGCCCTAAGCTACTCCAAACGCTAAGACCCACCTCTTGCCCAACAAAACGAGCTCCAACACCTCCCCCCCCCCGACCTCGAGGCAGGCTCTTGCAGATGTCGCCTTCGGCTCCTCCTTAGGCGGTTCAGGGGTGCAGGAAAGAATATTCTGTGTATACAGCAATTTTGCTTGAGGGGATACTCCAGACTCCAGCTCCAGCTATATGTACTACACGCGCCCAAGTCACATTCCTTAGGACCTTTGTCTACGAAGAAGATGCCGTCAATTTAACCGAGATGGACATACTTCCGACCAGGCACCGATGGAGCTGCATCTGCAAACCCGACAAGCGCCTGCGACCCGAATGCTTGCTGGAGTTCACGGGGAAGGAAAAACCGAGGAAACCGCAGTTGCAAGCAGCCCCTTCGCGATGTCCAGTGGAGTCTCCCCACCTGCCAGCATGCCCAAATCCTACGCCCTCTTGACATCTTGAAAGGAGCTTCCAGGTGAAAACCCTCTACTTTGTGGGTCCGAATTTGGGTTTAGGGTTTATGGGCTTGTGGGATGTTAAAGGTGTGAAGCTTTCTTGACATCGTGAGACACGCCAACACCTGTCAATCCAGACCTGTCATCCCTACATCTTTTCGAGACGTTAAATATCAGGAGCCAGAAGAATGGCCAAGGCTCCACTCAAAGCGCCTGCTCAGTTTAACCTTCACAAGCCACATGTGGCGGAAACCTGCTGATTTTGATGGTGCAAAGCACGGCGTTGCGAGAAGCAGACCGGCTGGCGAGACCCTCACATCCCACTGGGAGTTTGGTGTTTGCAGTGGCGCGTAGATGTGCGTAGGGCTTCGGCTTTGGAGACTTCGAGGGTTGCATGGTTTGCGTCTTCATTGGAGACCGAGATGGCCAGGAGTTTCGTGTGGTTCGTCATGAGGCCCACTTCAGACTTCTACAAAAGCCTGCAGCACAAGGCCACAAAGTAGCTTCTGCAGCCCTGGGGGAACCCGAAACCCTCTGCGCCGAATGCCACTCCGCTCCCCAGCCTGAAACAGCGTTAACGTCAGCGCGATGCTGGATCAAGGCGGTCACCGCATCCACCTCGACTCCAGGGCTTCCGAGAAATCTGAGAGCGAAAGGCTTTGCAGGGCTTTGAAAGTGAGAAGCTCCTAAATTTCAAGCACTGGGGCTGCAGCGTTTGCATTGTGAGCCGCCCAAGAAAGAACTGTCGCCTGGTGTCAGAGAAAGGGCGGGGGGGCAGCTGTGTGGCTCTGTAGTCGAGTCTACCACCGATTGAACATTAAAGAGGGGCTTGTGTGCGTCGTGTTTAGGGTTTACAGGGTCTGACGTGGGGTTATTGTAAGAGCCCTAAACCCTAAACCCTAAACCCTAAACCCTAAACCTTAAACCCTAAGCCTGGTATTCCGAGTCCCGCTGGTTTGGATCGGCCCGCGCTTCCAGGAGAATCTCCAGCGCCTCGGCAGGGTCGAAGGGGCTGGGCGCAGGGCTTGCTTTTGGGGGCTTCTTGGGGCTTTTGGGCTGCTGGGGCTTTCGGGGTATTGGGGGTTTTGGGCTTTTGGGGTTTAGGGATCTTGGGGTGTAGAGGGATTTGTGGGTTGTAAGGACTTAGGGCTTTGGGCTTGAAGCGCCCTCAAAACCCAGACTCGGCACCCCAAACTCCAAACTCGGATGTTGGCTCTGGGGAATGAGCCGGGGGCTTATTTTGAGGGAAGACTCAAGGACCAAGCCGGCCCAGTCCTTAAACCCCTACGGTATCTTTATGGGGTTCACGGGACTTCGGATGCAAAATCTGTAATAAAGAGGCTAACCAAGCAAGGCGTGAAGCCTTGACCTCCCATACAACCCGAGCCAACAGGGAAAACAAAAATGCACAGTCGTATCGTTGTTGTATAGTATTGATAAACACAAGTATCATACTGATAGTACTGATAGTCAAGATAACAGTGATAATGTCATTGTCATAATGATAGCCATGAAAATGATGCTGATGATGCCGGTAATGCTGATGCCCAAGACGATTTCATCATGATTGATGGCGTTGTTAGTCTCGGCTCAGCATGCAGCAAGTCTTGCTTCGTTCTTGACCTTCTTAACCCATCAAGAAGCTCAACCCTAACACTCTAGAACCGTAAACCTCCGAAAGACGCAAAACCATCCGTGGGCCCCCCGGCATCCACGTTGTCGTTGCCGGCAGCTGCCAACAGCGCTGTAGCTCCAGTGCCGCGGTCGGGGTCGGCGCGAACCTGTGGCGGACAGTGTGGCATTTTGGTGTAGGGTGTAGGGGTCTTGGGTTTTAGGGTATAGAACTAGGTAACTAGGAATGTTATGGTTTCGGCCTAAGGACGTCATGATAAACGGCTTCATGGGTCTAGAGGGATGAGGCTGGAGGGACCCTCGAGCCCCATAAGAACGATTTAAGAATGATCAACATGCAAGTTTGAATTCGCTAGGTCCGGAAGAAGACTCTGTGTCGAACGTTGGGCTCACATACCTGATGCCACAAACCGTTCAGCCACAGCGCTGTCTCAAGCCCTGGCTCTAATTTGCCCTCTTATCTTCCTGCCCTTACACCCCTGAAGGTGGGGTGAAGAGAAGCTGCGTGTCTCGGGTCTAGGCGGGCCTGTAGCAGAAGCTGAAGGCTCTCGAAGGCGTGGTCGAAGTCGTTCTCCTGAAGCTCCAGAGAGTCCCCTGCCTTGTTGAGGTGTATACCCCCTAAAACCCAAAGAGCAAAAAGGCTTCATCTTCGGGGCTCTCAGGTCTTTTCTGTGCCGGTGCGGTCTCCTCGCCACCATGCGCCGACGCCAGGGTCATGAACTGAACCTGCCACGGCTGCTTCGGGAGCTCGGAAAGACCATTCCCGCATATTCCGGCTTTTCCGAGGCTTCCTTCATGAATGGGAGGCTGCATACACAGGCAGACCAGAACCTCTCCGGACAAAAAACATGATGCCAATCCAGAACCTGGCTTTAAAAAAAACAAGCCCGATTGCGCACCGACCGGGTCGGGCTCAAGGCAAGACCTCTATTCAGTCCAGAGCGCTAGGACCAGGCTTACAACCATCTACTCGTTTGCAGGGGCACAAGTAAATCCCACAACTTACATGCTAACAAAACACCCCCCCCCAAAAAAAAAAAAAAAAAAAACTCAAACCAGAGATCCCGCAAGCCTACATAGGCACAACAAGAGTCCACAATTTTACCCGACATCCCAAAAATTGCGCCCGAAAGGTCGCAGGGCTGGCGGGGGTCTGCGTGCTGCCGGCATCGCCATTCGGATTGGCTTTTGCCTGGGGTCAACTTTGCTCTTTCGGCGTAGGGAAAATGGGGTTTTAGGGGGTTCTATAGGCTTGTAAGTTTGGAAGAATTCATAGAGTTGATTTGGTGCTCATAGGGACCTGTAGGTGTTTTTCGCGTGCACAAGAAAGCGCTTCTCACAGGGTTGAAGGTGGACCCTCAGCCCAAAACTGCCCAAAAGCCCCCACGAACATCCATTGCCCTGGAGGCCTCCAAGAGCCTTGGCACAAGGTCGTAGTGGCCTGCCTGGCAGGCGGTAGGTGACGGTAGGTCAGAACCTAAAATTCAACCTGTGTAGAGCAGCATCAACAAATTTCCACGACTTATGCAAGGTTCAGGGTACAGGGCTTAGGGTTTAGGCGGGAACCAAGGGACTCTCCACAAGACGAGCACGGAAACCCGAGACGTTGCACTTACAAGCCCTGGCCTGGATGCACATGAGAAGCGGTGTGCCGCCATCCTGAAAACAGCAAACCGTGTGGGGAGCTTCTGCGAAGCTAAGCCTGTTTTAAGCAGCGTGGGGTGCATACAAGCCTGGCCAGCCGTACATGTGAGCCTCTCGCATAAGTCTCATATGATATAAAAGCTTCGGGGTGCTGGACCTGTGAGGTCGCGCGGATGAGGGGTGTCTGGAAGAGCTTATAGGACTCAGGGATTGGTTTTAAGGCTTCTCGACTTCGCGTTTGGCGGCTGAAACTTTGGGCAAACTGGCAAGTCCAGACCCTAAACCCTGAACTCCTACTAAGCGCAAACCCTATTCTAAACCCTGCACCTCGGACCGCCAGACTTTGGGCCAACTTGGGCTTTGTACTTGGAACGCCAACCCGAAGCCCGTCCTTGCTGGCAGCGTTGAGGTCTGCTCCGTTGGACAGCCTCGGCACTTTTTCGCTTTGCTGAATAACTGGACCTACCTTGCGCAGGCTGCTTTTGTGGTTCTGTAGGGTTGCCGATTATGAAGATTCAGGGTTGCTTAGGCTTTGTTTGGGATGTAGGGAATAGAAAATCATGGCAGGATCTTCATAGCTGAGCTAAGGGATTCGCCTGAAGATCCAGCAGTGAAGCCCAAGCCCTCTTTCAGTGGCTGCTGCAGTGCGGCGCGATAGAGCGAGAGAGCAGAGAGAGAGCGAACCAAAAATTTAAAGAAGGAAAGTAGGGAAAGAAAGACATGCAGAAGAAACAAACGGAACAGCGCGGGTGGCGGCCAACCTACGAGCCCATCTCCCCAGAAGCCGAAAGAACCCAACCCCTGGGCTCCTGGCAGAAGCTCCAGCACCTCTTCGCCGAGATTAGGGCTCTGTAGGGCTTTGTAGGGGTGTAGACTTGCAGAGTTCTCGGGTTGTATAGGGTCAATGGGCTTAAGGCTTTGGAGTCTTTAGGTTTGGGGTGGTCGGGTTTCTATTAAACTTGGTAGTATACAAGGTGGACGTGTTTCTGGAAAACAAAAACATCCGACATGGGTCTGCACCTTCCGCAGTCACCGGGTGCGGGGTTCAGGGTTTAGCCGCGGGGAAACCTTGCCCTCGTGCTTTGAAAGGGTTCCCTCTCCCTCTCCCTCTCCCTCTCCCTCTCCCTCTCCCTCTCCCTCTCCCTCTCCCTCTCCCTCTCCCTCTCCCTCTCCCTCTGAAAACTGTCACGTGATCACGGAGACCCCAGCCCAACAACAACATCTAGGAATCCAACAGCTCAGACCAACCAGGTCCTTGATGACTACAAGCCTGAAAGTAAGATATGGAGTTTAGAGAAAACTATATAAACCCTCAACCCTGAAGACCCTAAAACCCCCAAAAACCCAAGGTCGACTGCCTCCCGATGGTTGCCAACAGCCGCGGCGCAGGCGGGACTTACACCTGGAAGGCAGCCGATCAATCTGATCAACAGGGCTTGGGATTAATTAGGGTTTTTGGGTTGCGTTCGGGGACAACACGGGGAATATCCTCCCAACCATTCACATACCTCTGATCTCTTTGCATCAGGGATTGCAGGTGCCGAGCCGACACTTGTGCCTAGGGGATCCGAGCCTACAAGGCAAGGCCACAGAGCTAGCCCAAGCCCAAACCCCTGAAACTCTAAGCTCAGGCCCGCAAAGCCCTCAAACCCTGCAAGGCCTCTAAAGTCAAAATGCCAAACCCTCAAAAAACCCACTAAAACTCCAAAACCCCTCGGCCCTGAACCCACTTCCGGTCTGCAGTCACGTCTGAGCCAGCAGCCGTCGGTGGACTTGGCGAGGTTCGGATCCTGGCGGCACGTTGAAGTCCCTTGGAGGGCTGGTGCTTCAAAATCTCTAAAACAACTCGGTGCTTCAAAGATTTAGGGCTAAGCTTCTCGGGAGCCGTTCTGGAATTAGGCTCCCAGTTTCCTTGCAAAGTGGGCATTGTGGGGTTGTCCCTCCAAAAGCCCTGAGACTTCACCAAGCCTGAAGCCCTGCAGAGCGCAAAGGCCCTAAGCCCTAAACCCTAAACCCTAAACCCTAAACCCTAAACCCAGAACCCTAAGCCCTAATAGCCTAAGTACTAAGCCCAACAGACCCTATAAAGCAAGGCGGAGTGCACCGCTCGCTTGGCCAACAGAAGCTCCACCATCGGGGCCTCTGCCGACCATCGTCTTTCGGCTTCAGGGCTCTTAGGGCTTGGAGTTTAAGGCTTGGGGTCGGTGACTTCTTCTTTATGCTTGAGGTTGTCGTGGGGTTTAGGGTTTAGGCGTAGCAGGGCTTAGGGGATAGGGCTTAGCAGGGCTTAGGGTTCAGGAATGACTTCGCTGGGGCTCGGGATGTGTAGGGTTTGCAGGTCCTGCGCAGGCTTATGACAGCAAAGGTCTGCAACCGAAGAGCCGGTTGAGGGTTCAAAGACAACCTGCTCCCCCAAGCACACCTTTGCTTCGCCAAGTACACCGAATAAGGCCTATAGAGGATAGCTATTCATAAGGGCATAGGGCGCCTTCAAGGCAATTATTACTTGTTGGGTTCGTCCTCCCGGGATGCTCAATTGCTAGGCCCCCAGACGCGTCCGTTGGCGCACGCAGCGAACAGCGGCCTGGCAGTAGCGTGCGGTCTTGGGTTCTAGGGTTGCCTATACTATAGGGAAAGCAGCTTAAAAGGTTTAGGGTTCAAAGAGCTAGGGGGGTTCTATCTCCAGGGTTTTAGGGTTGAGGGCCGGAGGGGTTCACTAAGGGTTTATAGGGTCCGTTGGACGGGCGCTTGAATCCGAAATCTCGAGCCATCTGTGCACCCTCAACCCTAAATCCTAATTAAGGCCCCCATTAGACCCCAGAGACGAGCTAGGAATCTCTGGCCGGGGGGCGTCTCCCCAGCAGAGTTCCGCGTAGGCTTGCCCGCCAAGTCCTGCAGTGGCGGCCAAACCCGCAAACCCACCCTAACCCCTAAAACGTAAACCCTTCACTTGGGGGTTGATCGAGCTTCTGAGGTGGGTGGTGGGGGGTGCTCTGTTCTTTTTGCGAGGGTTCTATTTCACATCGGTACCTGTAGGGCTGTAAGGGGAGCCTATCTTAGAAAAGAACATTCCGCAGCAGCCCTGCATCAGCCCTCTTGAACACTTGAACCCCTGACTGATCCTAAACCGGTTGGGCTGGGCTTTAGGGTTTCGGCGAGACTCGAGCAGGCGAGATGGGAATTGAGGACGTTCAGACGTTCATTTTCAGGGGAGGGGGGGGGGGGGTGCGTGCCTTCAAACGAGGCCCTATCCTGGGCGTCTGTGTTTCGGCCTTAAGCACAGGTGAAGTTAAAGAGTCCCCACGGGACATTCTTGGACAAGAGGAGTGCGGCGATCAACGGTGCAAGCCCATAGAAGAACGGTCTGGGGCACAAAGGATCGTCGAGCCGGTCTATAGACCAAGCACGTGGCCGATATATCGCGCCTGGCACAAGATCGTGAAACCACGATTGGCACCACTCCCACTCAGTGCAATCATGATGCAGATGTGCCAATCCTAACCTCGACAAAGTGGCCCAACTCAAGTCAACAGCTCGCAAGTAGCATAGTAGCTCGACATGCCTACCCCCGAACGTCTGCTATCTTCCTGAGGACCACGCTCTACCTGCAGAAATCTGAGATAAGACTTTCGTATTCTAGACATATACATACATATAAATGCATCTGCATGTGTGTATCTATTTATGTGTGTACATATGTATTTATATATATAATTATATACATATATATATATATATATGCTACCCCCCCCCCCCAGCGACCTACCCTTTTTAGGCCTTTTTAGGCCTTTTTAACAAAAAACAACAAAAAAGGCCCAAAAGTCGCGTAGTTAATCACCGGGTAATGAAGGACAGTTACTGGGACACCCACCTCACAGACCCCGATAAGCTAGCATTGGAAGAATCTACATTTTGAATCTGAAGCGGACAATGCTGTTTTTAGATGTTTAGATCAGTGTTTTTCTATGCAAATTGTGCGTTTCAAGGGCAATTAATGTTTTGTTGAGCAACTAATTTATTTATACAATTGTGTTTGTACGAGGCAAAGTATTAATCAAATAGTGAAACATTTTTCTTGGTTCTATGCGAATTTAACTACTAGACTAATTATTAAGCAAAGAGCCCAATTTGACTCAAGTGAATACTATTTAAAGGAGCATACTCAACCAAGATACGAAATAGACACCGTTCTCAACCAAAATATGGCAAAGTGTGCGTTTGAAGTGCAAATACTGTATTTATACAATTGTGTTTGTACTAGGCAAAGTATGCTCTCTGAAAAGTCCACTGAATACATTATGTTTACATATTCATGAATCTTTTTTTTGAAATAATCATTTTATGCGAATGTAGCCACTCGAGTAATTCTTAAGCAAGTAGCCCAATTTGACTCAAGTGAATACCATTTAAAGGACCATACTCAACCAAAATGCGCAAGAAGCACCATATTCAACCAAAATATGGCAAAGTGTGGTTTAAAGGGCAAATAATGCTTTGTTGAGCAACTAATGCATTGAGACAGTTGTGTTTCTACCAGGCAAAGTATTATTGAAATACTATCTGCAAAGTCAAATGAAACACCTTATGTTTACATATTCATGAAACAATTTTTTTGAAGTATTCATTCTATGCGATTTTAACTACTAGAGGAATTCTTAAGCAAATAGCCCAATTTGACTCAAGTGAATACTATTTAAAGGACCATACTCAACCAAATGCGAAATAAACACTAACGGAAATGGAAACGGTTCTACCTGCATAACAATGAGACAAAGATTGCTGAAGTATTCAATAAAGACCACTTATATACTATGTCTGAAAAGCACAATTTGCATAAGCAAGCTTTAAAAATGCACAATAATGGAAATAGAAGTGGTTCTACTTGCATAACGATGAAACAATTATGTCTGAAGTATTCAAGAAAGACCACATATATACTATGCTTGAAAAACGCAACTTGCACAATCAGGCTTAACAAATGCACAAGAATCCTAGAAAAGTACTTAGTGAAGGCCATACACAAGCAAATTCACAAATACATAAAAACATCCAAAAGCGGAAGCTTTTCAGGAGAATCTCTGGTGAAGTTTGGATTATAGGGTTTTGGGGTATCCCTGGACGAGTAGGAGTCACGTTTTAAGCAAACAATTCTAAGCAATAAATGCTTTTTCTCAAGACAAGTATTGCAAATGCTGCTTCTAGATCATTCATCGCATTTACCAGGCAAATATTATCCATGCGAATGTAGCTACCAGAGCACCAAGCAATGCCTGAATAAGGTCTACTACACTTGAGTACAACCAAAAGATGCACTAAACACTAGCGGCTCTACTTACATAATAACGAAACGAATAGTTCTGAAGCACTAGAAAGACCACTTGTATACTATTTCTGAAAAGCACAATTAGCATAAGCACACTTAAAAATGCGTAGTTGTTGCCTCGTGACCGTGAAGGCGAACCAAAACGCCAAAATACCAAAACCAAAAAACCAAAAATACAAAAACCCAAAAAACCAAAAAAACCAAAACCAAAAAAAACAAAAATACCAAAAAAAACCCAATTTTCCGGGACTTTTGGAGAAGCCTCATAGGGATTTCCTGAGAGTCCCGGAAAATTGGTTTTTTGTTGGTATTTTTGGTTTTTTTGGTTTTGTTTTTTTGGTTTTTTTGGTTTTGGTGTTTTTGGTTTTTCTACTGTCCCGTGTATGCGATTTTAGTTGCATTTTAGTCTACGCCCTAGGAAATACGCTATATTGCACACCGAGTTTGCTTGCAGTGCAGCTGGGTGACTTGAGACAAGGCGAAAAAGGGTAGGTCACTGGGCGGGGGGGGTACCATATACATATATATATATATAACATGTGTAGGTTTGTACATACATACTATGATGGAGCTGTTGTATGCTATTGTATATGTTCAGATGTTTTACTATGTGTGTGTGTCTATACTTTAAAATGTGTGCAAGTTATATGTCATGTAATGTGGATCTATGCAGAGACCATACCTCAACCACCAAATCAACGGTTGTGGACTCGTGTGGGTGAGCAAGCGGTTTAAAATGTGCTTACATAAACGGCCCTCAAAGCTTCTATGCAAACTGGCTTGACAATGTTTCACATGGCTTTTACCTTCAGGGCCATGAAGGGTTTGAGGTTTACAGTGAAGGGTTTAGGGTTGGGGGGTTTTAAGGGGGCTTCAGCCGAAATTTTGAGAACACGGGCACACACGCACAAACACTAAAATGTCTTCTCTAAATCACTAAACCTTAAATTCCCTTCAAACCGCAGATTTGCTTCAGTTCTGCGGGTGCCGAAGAGGGGAGGGGGGCCTTTCAAAGCTCCTTCAGAGCCTGCCACGCTTCAAACATCCTACGGATCCCCTCTTGAAGAGAGGCAATTTTAACTTGAGGGCTTGGGGCTTGGGCTGTCAGATTCGGGGCTGAGCGTTTAACAGGCGTTGAGGGTTTGGGTTTTTGAAGGCTCTGGAGCGTATGAGTTTGTGTCGGGGTCTTCATCCAACTTCATCCGCTCAGCCCCGCACTAGACGCCGAAAAACTCCGGCCCGGACGGCTCAGGCGGAGGCGGCGGAGGCGGAGGCGGCCCGAACTCCAGGAGGTGCCGGATGGTGCTGTGCCCTGGGTTTGGGCACCCAGCCCCAACTACCCTTCGGGACCCTTCATGGGTTGGTACACTTCGGGCATGAGAGTGGCATGAGAGTGGACAGCTTGGCAATTTGGCTTCGATGTGCTTTGCAGGGCTCAGGGTAGTTTTCAATATTTGGCTGAGGGGCGGCCAAGACCCAAAAGCCTTCCCAAACCCCACGCTGCACAGTTGCAATGGCATTTGGAAGCACCAGTTGCCTCGTTCCTGCGCAATCGCGCTCGGCGTCACCCCGGCATTGTTGGCTTTGTCCTTTCGGGCTTAGTGCTTAGGGCTTTAAGGGTATTCCGGTTACTAGCTGCTGAATTTGGGGTTTGGGCTTAGTAAGGCTTCTTGGGATTCTGAGTTCCGGCCATGCAAATGCAGGTAGCACGAAAACTCTAGGGGGCCTCTCGGGCTTGAAGTATGGGCGCCGAGTTACAACCCCCTTCCTGCGATCCTTTGTATAGTTTAGGGTTTAGGGTTTAGGGTGTAGGGTTTAGGGTTTAGGGTTTAGGGTTTAGGGTTTAGGGCGTATCATATGCACGCCGGAGCTCAAGCTACGATTTTTTTGTAGGGTTCGTGGTTTACGGCTTTCTCAGGCAGGAGGTAACAGGCCGACAAACGAAATCCGGCTTTAGGGTTTAGGGTTTAGGGTTTAGGGTTTAGGGTTTAGGGGTTTAGGGTTTAGGGTTTAGTGCTTAGTTTGCTGCTCTCTTCTGAGGGTCCAGCTCCAGCACGACGTTGAAGCCTCACGTTTCCCCCTCAATCCTCCCCCCAAAAAGGCTTCCCAATCCTATGAACCTATAAACCCTGCAAACCCTATAAACCCCCCTAAAACCCCCCCCCCTAAACCCCTTGCAACCCCTGCAAACCCCTTTAAACCCGATAAACCCCATATACCCTACACACCCTTTATGCCCTAAACCCGCCCCAAAGGGTGTCCTTATCGGCACCCACCTTGAGCATGGACCTGCGGATCTTCTTTGGCCAGGCCGAAAGGGAGAAGCTCATCCATCTTGATCGGGGTTTAGGGGCCTGGGGGTTGGGGTTTAGGGCTAGTCTTTGTAAGGTCCGAGGTTCTGGGTTTGGAGTTTTGGGTATGTTTCGGGTTTCTCCGGATTACCTAACCTGCCCACATCCTGACGCCAAGGCAATGCGTGCTTGCCCGGACGAAGGAGGTGGCAGGTCGTTTTAGGATGTGGGGCTTGGGTTTAGGGTATCAATCATCCAACCCTAAACCCTGAACCTGGAACCCTAAAGCCATAGACAACCCCAGAGAACAGTGGGCCCCTCCCACGCGCCTCACGCATTCCACGTGGCCCTCGCGTGCAGCCAGGAAAAGCGGCGTCGCGCCGTCGCTGCGGGCCTGGTCCTTGAAGGCCCCAGCCTGCAGAGAGGCTTAAGGTTTGTACTTAGGGTTTAGGTTTAGGGTTCAGGGTTTAGTGGGTTTAGTGTTTAGTGAAGGTTTACGGCTCAAGGCTCAGGACTCAGTGGGGAGAAGCTTCAGATTTGGCGCTTCGGGTCTAGAATTTTACTTCAGTTTGTGAGCTAAAGGGCTGTGCAAGGGGGGGTTGCAGGTTTTGCCGGTGTGGGGGGCGTATGGTGCTTGGGGGAGAGTACGGTATTGGGGGCGAAGGGTTGGGAGGTTTCGGGCGGTTGGTGGTTGGCGAGAATTCGACCAACCACCAGAACTAGTCAACCCTACACCCTGACACCCTAGAGACCTCGCAGCAGTATGGACCCCAAACCCTCATGAGCTTAGGATTCCTTGAGCTTCAGAAAAGCAGTGAGGGTGGTAGGAGTGTGGGAGTCCATGGTCCTTGAGCGAGGGGCTCCGGGTTTAGGGTTTACAGGTTTTTGGGCTTCGGGTTCAGGGTTCAGGGTTTAGGGTTTAGGGTTTAGGGTTTAGGGTTTAGGGTTTAGGGTTTAGGGTTTAGGGTTTAGGGTTTAGGGTTTAGGGTTGAGGGTTGAGGGTTGAGGGTTGAGGGTGCCAGGGCCTCCAGGAGCAAGGGCACCACCTCCATCTGATTCTCTTGGCAGGCAGCCCCGAGGCACGTATCCTCAGCAGCGTCTTTGTGATCCACCCAAGGCGAAAAAGGGTTTACCTATCGGGTGAACAGCGTGCCCAAAACAGCCAAAACGGCCACAAGAAAGCTGAAGGTCCGGAACCGAACCCTGAACCCTGGACCCATAAGCCTCGACCCCGAGCATCTGACCGCTTGTAGGGTTGGAGGGCTCAGGGGCTCGGAGCTCAGGTGATGGCATTCTGGGCTTAGGGTCTCGAACTTATGTTTTGCATGGAGGCTTTGCTTTTCTATGCCAGCATACTCGTAGATGTACTGCAGGCGCTCAGTACCATGGGCCGTCTACCTAACTCAGCAGAGTGAGGTGGATCAGCCCCAAGTTCACCTGCCAAACGCAGCAATCCACCTCCGCACATATGCGTGAGTAGACACTTACCAGCACCTGGTACCTACAAGCGCTCCTGCTCACTAGGGTCAAGCAAAGTGTCCCCGGAGTTCCAGCATGCCATGTTCACATTGGCTGCGGCTTCCAGCAGAACTCGCGCCACCTGCGATGGCACGTGCGCGATGGACCCACGTTTGCAGACATGGGTTCTTCCCATACCCAATGGCGCGAAGGATGCTTTAAGAATACCAAACACCAAGCCGCTGAACCCCTAAACTCACAAGCTAAGCTCCCCTGCCCCCAAAGCACATGTTACATATACCCCCCCCCCCCCCAAACCCCTAAACAGAATTGCACATCGTAATAAAAAACAAAATATATAAGACTGAGAAAATCCCCCTCCCCCCCCCCCAAACACGCCCCTCCCCCCTGGCACCTCGACGCGGCCCTTCCAACATGCCACGAAGAGGGGCGTGGCTCCTGGGAAATCCACCGTCAGCGCCTTCTCCTGGGAGTTCTTCGGGGTGGAGTCTGGGGGCCTGCGGCCTATGAATCCTCTCCCCGAACTCCCCTCATTACCCAACAAACAAAGTGGACGCAGAAGGTCCGCCCCACCCGCCTCCCCCCACCCCCCCTCCGACCCCCGCCCCCCCCCCAATTTACACAACGGAACAATAACCGTTGGTCGGTTCGAGCCTTGTCCGCCCGAGCAAGAAGTAGCCTCGGCTAGCGCGGCAAGGCTTCAAGACTCTGAGGTTTATAGGGCTCAGGGAGGCGCCAAAATGTCGAAACTTCTCGAAACCCTCAACGCGGGGACCCTGAACCCTCGGACATCTAAGATCTCAACATTCCGCACCGGGTTCAGTGAGCGCGCGGCAACTTTCCACACAAGGCTTCTTTCACTCCTCAAAGTCTACAGCTTACAGGGCTATAACCCGGTCGTAACAATAACACGCCCCAAAAAACGAGAAGCCTCATGAAGATTTGGGGCCTCTGCCTTCCCTTATTGGCGGGCATCTTTGGGCCCTATTTGCGGAGCATGGGCGCTTGCACACCCACGCCCTTACACCGGATTCTCATCTCCAGAACATAGCGGCCCAACCCCCAATACCCTCAACCCTCAGCTGGCCGCTTGAAATATGTTTTGTTCAACTATTGTTGGTACTTCTACCATTATGCTAAGCTTAAGAAGGAGCAGAGCAGCAGCTTGACCACCTCTGCGCGCCCCTTCTGGGCCGCCACGGAGAGCGGGGTGGCGCCGTCGTCGTGGCGGGCGCCGTCCATATCCGCACGCGCCTGGAGGCATGGGTCTGATTTCGGACCTATACCTAGAGTAGCCGATGCATGTATATGATGTGTAATGACCTACATATGGCACAGAACTGTACAGATTTAAGAAGCATACTCAGAAAAAGGGGCGGCTTGTCTCAGTTGTTTGTTGTCGGTTTTTTGTCGTTTGGGAGAGGGGCTATTCTAGGTGTAGGGCTCAGGGTTGAGTCTTGAAGCAGCTTCCCGGCAGTTCCCAGTAGGGCTTAGTGCTTAGGTCAGGTCTTCATGTCGCCTCGAGCAAGAGGCGCACCACGGCCACATGCCCTGCGATCGCCGCGACAGACACCTAAGCAAACGGCTCCGAAACCAGCGCCACCGCAGCTTTCAAGGTCGGTTCTGACCTAAACCCCAAACCCTCTACTAGAAAGGCGGAAATCCAAGGTTGGCTAATCAATCTACATCAGAGTTTTTATTTACGCTTCGACATAAGGCGAGGAAGAACCTCATTCCAGCAAACAGGCCCCCACATGATCCCACATGTTCTTCTCCCGAGAGAAAGGAGGTCAAAGAAAAACAAACCCTATAAGCCCTTATCCAAAACTTCTTCCAGGAGCAGGTGTTGTTCCGTCGACGGTGAGCGGACGGTCGAGGTCCGCATTCGCCGACAACAAGAGCTTCACCACCTCCTCCTTAAAAGAAAGGCTTCCCAAGCTTCTACCTGAACCCTTAAGAGTGTAGCTCATTTTTCGGATATTTGTCTGGTGACTATCCTTTAGCGAGAGAATGACTACAGAGCCAAGATTTCAAAGCGAATGGCTAGTCTTCAATGTAGCTTGTGGAGATTTGGGCCAACGCAGCACATGCACATGCAAGAAGCGACAAACAATTCTCGAGATTATCCAAGCCTCCCGACCTTGCCAGGATGCCAGGAACAAGGGAGTAGCACCATCATTGTTGAGGGCCTTGTCTTGGTCAGCACCAGCTTCCAGAAGCCTTTGATGCATCTCAACAAGTAGCAAGAACTTCAGAACTTCAGATTCATAGAACGATTGAGCATCATGCCCCAACTAGTCAACTATAGTTATCCAAGTCGCAGGCGAACCACGTCTGCTTCCCCAGTTCGGGCTGCCACGCAGAGAGGCGTGGCCCCCTCCAGCGTGCTACCGCTGTCCTTATCAGCGCGCACCTCCAGCAGCAAGCGCACCACATCCGATCTGCCCTTGCTGCATGCAGCGTGCAAGGGCACCGTCCCATCCTGCAGGCGTGGCCGGTCCGCGTCCGCGCCGGCTTCCAGCAGGAGTCGTACCACCTCCACTGTGCCGCTGCTTGCCGCAACATAGAGAGGTGTCTCCCCACTTTCGAGCCGAGGCTTGTTGACATCTGCCCGAGCCAGTAGCAGCTGCCGCACCACACCTGCCGTGTTTGCGCTATGTGCTTCACAGACTGCCGCCTGGTGGAGTGGGGTCGTGCCATCATCCACCTGGGCCTTGTCCATGTCCGCGCGGACCGAAATCAGCAGGCGCACCATGTCGTCATGGCCAAACATGGCAGCAACCGACAAAGGTGTGGCCCCGTGAGGGCTAAGACCAATGTCCTTATCGGCGCCGGCATCCAACAGCAGGCGCGCCACCTTCAGAGGCACCACGAACGGCACTGAGAACTACTACATGATGTGAAAAAAGTACATGTGGTGCTGGGCAGCTGGGCATCACTTGTATGGAAACCTGCCGGGGCCCCTTGACCACGCCCCAAGTCCCAGCTGAGGTTCCTGCATAGATCCCAACCCGAGAAATGTAAGAAGAGCCCACTGCAGACTTCCCTCAGCTGAGTTCAAGTACACCTTGCGATCTCTATATCGATAAACCGGACGACCTGAACTGGTCCACCCATGCCCCGAAAATCACAGCCCAGCACCTATGTGCCCCAAATCGAAAGAATCCACTTCTAAAGCTCCATCCGCCTTTTCAAGCCTTAGCGAGGCCTATAGGCCCTTAATCTCTTGCTTCAGAAGTTCGATTTCCAAAAAGTAGCTTTGAACTTTGACACCCTCAGCTACACCCGAACAACGAAACCTCCAGCAACCACTTAACACCCCATAGCACCCAAGAAGAGAGTGCACCACGAACACATGATGCACATGTACATATATATATATATACATATACATATACATTATATATATATATATATGTATGTATATATGTACACCTCGATTTGAATCTATCTACATGTATTTTCATCTTATGTATTCTTATAGACACAGACAAGAACAACTACAACTACGACGACTACTAGGCGACCCCACCACCACCAGTGCCATCATCGCCACGACTGCCTCTGCGAAAAAAATACTAAGCAGAAAAAACAACATAAACACATATAATAGTAAGAATCCGAAGAATACTCCGAAAATAAGAATAGCGCGAAAAATGTGCAGAATGAGAAACATAGCAAGAATAAGGCCGCCAATGCAATAAAACGACTACGAAAACCCCCCGCCGCCTCTGCGTGCCCCTTCTTTGCTGCCAGGAAAAGCGGGCCTGGGCTGCGGCCTTGGCTGTTTTGGGGTGTGCTTGGGGCCTTGGTGGGGGGAGTGGGGGTCCCAATAAGGGCGCCGTTTTGGGAGCACAAAAAACATAAGTATATGCATATATGTATCTACAGGTATAAATGCATGTACATACATACAAACAAACATACATATATATATATATATATGTATGTATCTTCAAGGCCTTGAGGACTTGAGGGTTCGAGACACGGCTCCAAAAAGAAAGCCTCAAGGCTGCCCCATGTAAATACAACAACACACCCTAAACCCTAAACCCTAAACCCTAAACCCTAAGCCCTAAGCCCTAAAGCCCTAAAGCCCTAAAGCCCTAAAGCCCTAAAACCCTAAAGCCCTAGAAGCCCTAAACCCTGACACTCCCACGTACCACATCCCAGCTGCACGAGTGGGTGCAGTCCTGGCCGGACTGAGCTCGGATTCGGAGGCTTTCTGTAACATGCCTAGCAAACCTTTGTAGGGTTTAGGGTTTAGGGTTTAGGGTGTAGGGTTTAGCTTGGGGAAGAGGCGGAGTGGTGGGTTGGTGACTTCTCCAGCTGCGATCTAGGCCAGTTGGTGCTGTCGGATTGCAGATGTCTTACAGTAAACCCTGGAGAGCTGCACCAGATCTGAGCAAGCACGTCCACATCCCCATGAAGAAAATTCCAGAGGAGATACCCTTATCTGATCACGTCAAATGCATGTTCCGATTTGCCAGCATTAACGTCCAAGGCAGATCTTGCGCAAGGCTTAAGATAACGAGCTCGAAGCGACAACAATTGAACTTGACATCTCCACTATGGTCCAATCCCAACACAGGAAGCATGATCCTTGTCTTCCTCTCCCTCCGCTTCGATCAACAAGCGCACCACCTGCAAAGCTTCCTCTCTCTTACTATCAGACTGACTTACCCTTGAGCTATCGGGCTGCAGGGGTCGGGGGTCTGGGAATGAATAAAGTCACTTCAAGTTTTAGCAAGTCTTCAAGATGCCATATCTATTCCGATATTCCCCCGGCGTGCCGTGAAGGCCTGAACTCTTAAGGGCTCAAGCGGTCGGTTTTCAACATCTTGGACAGCCTGAGGCAAGCTGTGCCCGTCGAGAAGTCCTACATAGAGACACAAATGTGCTTGGGCGCTCCCAGCCAACCAACTCTGGCTGACCTGCACTTGTTGGACTGGCACTCATTGTTGTACTTGCATGACTCCCCGACGGGCTTCAGCGCCGTCTTCTTCTCCTGCGCCGTCAGCTCCACCTGCTCATGCTCCTTCACCTCTGCGCCCTCCCTGGCTGTCTCCATTTGCTTGTCGACATGAGAGTCGGCGAGGATGGTGGCGGCATTGTCATTGCCAGTCTCCTCAACGCGCGTGCTGGCGACGGGCGGCACCACACCCGCGGCAAGCAGCGCCAGAGCGATGATGAAGCTGCGACGAGCCACCATGGCTTCACGCTCGCGCGAGCGGGAATGCAAGGAAAGATTTGACAAAGCGCGTCGGGCTTGATATGCTCAATGCTGCGACAGCCGGACAGCACCTGGAGAAGTAACGTGGACAGTGTTCAGAACTATGAAGAACGCAGCTCCACACACCCTAAAGACCCAAAACAATGCACATACATCTAAACAACACGAAAGGCTAAGGCTTCCAAACAGATGGAAAATACTTCTCCACATTGGGAAGCTCAGGAGCTGCAGCCCTAAACCCTAACCCAACCCCGAAGCCTCCGCGTGGCCCATGAAGGAGGCCACGTCGAGAGGTGTTGCCCCGTCGTCGGTGCGGGTTGAGCGGTCCTGCGGGCACAGCGCTCTTGATGGCAAAAGGTGCCAAAAAGGTGCATATCTGCATACGGTTTCCATATGCATCTACACATAAGAACAACGAAGTGTGTGTGACCCTTATCATGGCCCTGTCAATTAAAGCAAGGTTAGCGCCAAAAATGTGCCTCACAGAGTCGCACAGGACTGCAAGCAGGGAGAGAAGGAGAGGGGCGGGAGGGCGGGAGGGGTGCAGCTATGCGGGGTTGGTGCTTTTGATCGTTCCTTCTTGCTTTTGTGTCTTCTCCTGCTTCTTATTCTTTTTCTTCTTCATATAAGGTAGGAGTCTAGGTCTTATAAACTCCTGAAGCAGCACAAACAGCGTCCTGGTCCGCACTTGCTGCCAGCAAGAGCTTCACAACCTGAAGCACGTCTCACATAGATGGGACTTCAGCACTGCAAAAAACAACCAAACAAAAACCCTATAAACACCCCAGATCCCCCAAACCCCCCCAATGTCTCAGAGCTTTAACCGTCGCAGCCGCAGGGCCTCGGCCCAGCCCATCCATGAGGCTGCATACAAAGGCGTGGAGCCGTTGTGGGTGGCCGCCTGGCTTCTTGAGTGAGGATTGTGGATTTCACGAGGCGCTAGGCGTCGGGGTGACAGAGGGATTATATAGGGGGCCGGTTAACGTGCTGTAGAGTTTCGAGTTTGGGGTTTTTGGGGTTTTGGCTTTTTGGGTACTTCGGAGCTTCGGCGGCCATAAGTCCGAAGACCCGATAAGACCCTCACGCCCCAAGCTTCTATAGGAACTAAACCCAGCAGCAAGGCAAAAATCCTAAAGTCCCAACCCCGTCAGCAAAAACTCTACACCACTTCAGACGTTGCCCACAAGCAGCCATACGCCCAATACCCTAAAAACCCAACCCAAAAAAGCCCAAAGCAAGCCCTCAGCTTCAGACCTCAACGTTCAAAGTTTCACTTGTATGGTAACTTGAGAAGCACACAAACGCCTGTTGTCGAACAATCCCTTATCTTAAGTCTACTGGCATGCTTCCCAAAGTCCTTCCCAAACCTTCCAGCCCTAAATCCTAACCCTGAACCCAAGATACTTCCGCAACCCAAACCCACAAAACCCTAAACCCTAAACCCTAAACCCTAAACCCTAAACCCTAAACCCTAAACCCACAAAGTCGCAACTCTGGAAGCTTTGAGGGCGGCTCCTGGCACGTGCCCGCGCCGTTCGCCAGCAGTAGGCCTGTGCTTCTCTCAGGGTGGTTTAAAAATTTGAATTTAGGATTGGTTTACTGTTCTTTACTGTTACTTTTACGGTTTAGGGTTTAGGATTGGTTTACTGTTTTTTACTTTTTTTTTTTTTGGGGGGGGGGGGGTTCCTAAGGTCTTCGAAGGTCGTATATGCCTTTCTGACGATGGCCATGGCGGTCGTGGCTTGCGGCTGTGGGGTCACAGCACGCGCTCCAAACCGGACGATCCACAAAACGTCTTGGCCCTTTGCAACCCAGAATCAATGAAGCTGCCATTAAATTTAATCAAAAGGCAACGCATTCCTAACAAGACAGCCGCGCAAAGTCCGATGCCATAACCTGGGGGTGTGGGTTTGGGGGACCCGAAACAAATTTAGAATTTCCATGGGCCAGTCGGGCTATATAGGGACTGTGGCTCCACATAACTCACATAACTTTAGAACTTCTTCCTCAACTCTAAACCTCTAAACCCTACTAAACACATACCCAAGAAGCTCACCACTTCCCCAAAGCCCGTCTTCGAGGCCACGTAGAGCGGAGTTGCGCCATCCTGCCTCCTCAGTGTTTCAGGGGTCCCTTTTTTTGGTTTAGGGTTTAGGGTTTAGGGTTTAGGGTTTAGGGTTTAGGGTTTAGGGTTTAGGGTTTAGGGTTTAGGGTTTAGGGTTTAGGCCCCCAATGAAACTCTCAACCCCGAGGGGAAGGTGAAGATCTGACGGTGGCCCTTGGGAGATGTTGGGAAGGTCATGTCAAGTCTGGAGAGGCTGCTGGGATCTACTTGCTGAAGTCTAGCTGTGCGAAGTGAAGTTTGTTCTGTGTCTACGCAAGCATCGCTGTACAAGTATATACTTGTAGAGACAGAGAGAGGCTCAGGATACATAATTAATACAGGCTGGGTATGTGGATATCAGGAGCCGATGAAAAACTATGGAAGCCCTTCACTTGCCAAAACCTGCAGGGAATGGCAGTACGGAGGCCGGGAAGCATGAGCTGCAAGGATGTCTAAGATTCCTGAACACAAATATGAGATGTCGAGTCTTAGTCCGAATGCCCTCAGGCTTAGAAGCCCTAGAGCCTGATTAAGTAAAGCTTCAAACCGAAGGCTGCACATGCAGGCTTGTGCCAACAGTATCTGGCAACAGAAAAACTCACGTTATCAGGGCGAGGGTCCGCGCATCCTTGTTGGCCTGAGCTTCGAGTAGCCTTCGCGGACGTGGGCTCCCGGAGGGGGCGGGGGGGGGGGGGGGGGCTCGCTCCCGCTTGTGTAGGGTTTTAGTGGAGTTTCGCCGGAAACCCTGAGCGTACGACACGCTTTTTCCGCTCATCCTTCAGATTTTCATTTTTAGGATGGTTTTGGGGAACGGGTTGGTGCGCTGCTGTACTTACACCACAGCCCACAACCCAATACGAGGGGAGAGCACGCGGTAGTCTATTTAACGAACACCAATAAAGTTGGTAGGCTCCTAAGTATTCTGTACAGTCGGCGGCTTTGTATACGAAACGCAAATACAAACAACCTGAGTAAGACTGACAAGCCCTCAAGAGAAGGCTCCGAAAGTAGGATTTAGGGTGCCGTCAAGGTTGAGGTGTCTGTGAAAAACCCAAAGGCGAAGCTGAGGAGGTTTGCCCCCTGAACCGGCCCCTTTGTATGAACCCTTAAACCGTTGCAAGTATGGCCAAACCAAGGGAGCAGGCAAGGGTCTACGGGTGGCCGCCAGACTGCCATGTGGTGCAGAGACAACATCAGGTTCAAGCCCACAGTTGTGAGCCCCAAGGCACAGAACGGACAGCCACAAATGATGTGCAAGCTCAGCGGCAATCGGACCACATCGGCTTTGCCGTTCCTTGGATCCGACAGCCCACTCCTGCAAAACCCCGACATGTGCACCCTGCAAACTTTATAAAAGGATCATGCCTCCAAGCAACCTCCAAACTCCCAAAAGCACCCAGCCCAGAGACCTCCAACCTAAAACGGCAAGCCTCGGTCCAGCAAAGGCTCAATAAACCCTGAATCTCCAAAAAAAATCTCCAAGTAACCTCCTAGAAGCACCCCAAGCCATATAGCAAGCCCCAACACCTGAGCCCGCAACAAACGACTCCGAGGTTCTGGCACGCCACGAAGAGGGGCGTGGCGCCATCCTCCAGGGAGGCCTTGTTAATCTCGGCTCCCGCCTGCCTCGGCTTGTCTTGACATCTCCATGCGTGAGAGGGGCGTATCTAGAGAACTCGCAGGGCGTACCCAAACAAACTCGCAAGCTACTTTTGGCGTAGTTGCCCCCAGTGCCATCCTTCGTGATGACAGCAGTGATAATATAATAAATCAAGTATGGTTATGGCTATGATGAATGATCGACACTAAGGTAACGCAACACCACACCACTGACACACATCATAACATAACATGACATAATGACATGGCATAGCACAGCAAAAAAACATGACATTGCAAGCTGCTTGTGTGCTGGAAGGAGTAGGGTAAGTGCGGGCTGGCAACCCCTGCATCGCCACTAAACCGGAAACCGAAGACCCCACAACCAATAACAAGCCTAAGCTCACCTTCGCAAAGAAAGATCTGAAAGCAGAGCTCAGCTTTCCACTTGGATATGCTGCCGAGCGGCAACAGCAACTTCACCTGAGTTTCTCTCTCTTGCGCAGAACAAACGGAAGAGGCGCGCAGTGCTGTTGGATTTCGGTCTTCAACAACACACTCAGAAGAGCTGGCAACCTGGTTTTAAGAGCTCGACGTGCTTATGAAAAAGACGGCACCAAATCTTCGACGCGCGAAACCCCAACCATCCTGAACCCGCAAAAGCCGAAAACACAGCCAAAAAACACATCATCGCAAAACCCTATAATAAAACAACATAGGCAGCAAATCCCAAACAATCAACCCCACAAGCTAAGCCCCCACAAGCATGAAGCTAAACTTCCCAAACGAAGGTCCAGTCACCATCTCGGCTGAGCCCGCGCGCGACGCCTCGTGAAGAGGAGTGTTGCCATCCTCCCTCCGCGCCTTGTCCTGGCAGCTCTTTTGTAAGGTTTTACGTACGAGGCTTCCGTACTAGAGGCTTACCGTGCTTGTTGGTTTGGGTTTTTGTAAGGCCTTGCTGCTAAGTTCAGGACTTAGGGCTTGGGGTTTAGATTCGGTGCTGGGACGTACAGGGCATGGCGGAAAATGGATTTGGGGCTTTTTGGGCTTCGGACGGCCAAAAGAAACCTTAGTCTATCATGCCTCGTATGATCCTCCCACCCTCTCAGACCCTCTCCCCCCACTAACAAACAAAACGCAAACCAAGCAAGGGCTCTTCCTCGTAGAGGAGCTCTAAAGGAGCTCTGTTCCTTGAGCCCCGGGGGTCCTTGTCAGCCCCCGCTTCGAGAAGAAGCCGGGCCACCTCCAGGTGACCGCACTCCGCCGCCACAAAGACCAGCGAGGAGCCCTCTCAGAGGGAGAGGAGAGAGGGCGTTTTTGAGGCTTTTGGGGGGGATTCGAGGGGTTTTGAGGCTTCTCCGGCTGCATTGGGAAAGGGGGCTTGTGGCGCTTAAAATGCTCGGATTCACGGCACGGGAATGGAGACAGCTTTGGGTTACAGTCTCCCGCTTCCAGCTTGCCTGCCATAACGCATGATTCCGCCAAACCTTAACATCCACAACCCTAACCCCAAAGCCCAAACCCCACAACAAGACATACATGTCCATGGGGTATGTGGGCTACGCGGGGATAAGGCTCTGGGGCTCGGAGCGGCGTTTGGCTCAGGAAACCCTAAGCTCTCCACCCTGGCGGCCACGGGCTTAGGCCTTGTAGGGCTATCGGAGTTATCGGGGTTTTGGGGGCTCACAGGTTTTTCAGGGCTTACCAGGGATTGCAGGGTTTATAGCGCTTATTAGGATTTGGGGTGTAAGGACTTTTTTCGTGGTTCTTAAAGTTCCTCCTCCAGCCTTGACATTAATAAGCCCTAAGGCCAGGATTCGCCCAGCAGTTTACGATTTGCTATGGATTCTGTGGCCTTCGGGTACATTCTGGTAGTGGTGCGCACGACCGAGACGAACAGCATTCGCATAAGGCCAGCCGCAACTACGAAACTACGCAGGGGTGGTGTTTAGGGTTTAGGCCAAGCCCTACACCCGATGTTCTAAGGGCACCCAGGAACCTCCTGCGAGAGGCCCTCCGTTTCTGCCTTCGCCTGCAGCGGCCGTGAGCCGCATTGAATCCAATTCATATTGGCTTCGGTGCCACCATCCGAGCTACTCTTCGCTGATACATGCGCCTCCGTGGATTTGGAGGCGTTAGTCTAGAGCCTTGCAGACAAACAGTTGCCACATATCTTCTTTCCTGAATCGAGACTTGAGGCTGTCAGTAATCCCTGGGCAAAATTAAAACAGGGTTCAGGGTTTCGACCACACCTTATAAACCCTAAACCCTAAATTTTCTAAACCCTAGACACTAAGCCCCCTGCTTGAAGCTGCGAGGCCAGGAGCCGCAAAAAACCCCGAAGCCTACAGCCTTGCTTATGGTCCCAAGCCCGCAACATGCACCTAAACCCCTGAACCTTACACTGTAGACCCCAAACAGTAAACTCACATCCCAAAGCCAAAGCCCGAAACTCAACCCTATAACTTGGCCCCGTACCATTAAAGAATCATGAGCCGAGCCGAAGACGATAATAATGACTGTAGCCCCCCGTGCTCCCAAACCACACCTCCAGGAGGAGCTGGACCACCGCAGCGTGCCTCTCGAGTTGGCTTAAATTAAAGCGTATGAAAGACGAAGGGATACACTGGGGGTTTAGGGGTTGGGGTTTATAGGGTTTGGGGTTTAGGCTTACAGGGCTTATGGGGCTTATGGGGTTGAGCTTGCCATTCTAGGTTGAAGTAGGTTAGGGCTTCAGGTCTTCGAGGGGGCTGGGGCGCCAGGGTTTGAAGGCCTTATCGGGTTGCAAAAGGCAACAACAAAGCGAACGAGCAACCCAAAACCCCATGCCCTAAGTCGATAAAACCTAAACCCAAACCCCAAACCCCATAAACCCTAAGCTTGGAACCCCAAACCCTACAATCCCTAAGACAGCCCAGACCGCGTCGAAAGGACAGCTGAGTTGCCCATGGCGTGTGGCGGCGGCCAGTGGAGTAACGCCATCGCGGAGTGTTGGCTGGTCCTTATATGATAATGAGGGGTTCCAAAAGGGAAGCTTAGGGCTTCAGGGTATTAAGGTATTAGAGTATGAGGCTTTGGGATTTCAATGTAATTATTAGGGTATTGAAGTTCCCGTGTCTTGGGAACCTTGAAACTTTCTTTGCAGGACTTGAGCGGCGAGGAGTGTTGAGGTCTGGATAAGGCGTTTTCAAAACTCTCCAAGACCATGAGCTGTTTAGGTTCTAAGGGCTGCCTACCTGCAGTACTTCATGTAAAGATTTCGGCTGCGTTTCTACAGGAGTCACACCGAGAGACATGCTTGAAACTTCATCAAAAAAACATAGGTGTTCGGATTTGTCCGAAGCTGGTAGCGGTGTTGGCTGAAACAGCAAGCCGCGGCCACGTGTCCGGTGATGCGAGGTTGGTGCTGCAAAACCCCCAAAGAGAACACCGAGGTCATACCTGGCTTCTCAACCAGAGCTCTATAGCCCTTTCGTTTAGGGTTTAGGGTTTAGGGTTTAGGGTTTAGGGTTTAGGGTTTAGGGTGCAGGAACTCCGCACTTCCCAAAAGTGCCTGGACAGGGTTAAAGTGTTTTATAGCATGTCAAACAACGGTCAGGGGATGGACCTGGGTCTTTCGTCCAATGTGGTACCTCTTGATCTACCTTAAATTAGTGTATAGAATGCCCTAAGAATTTTTAGGACCCCAACTTGCATTCGAAGTGTCCACGTTGGCGAAAGCCTCCAGCAACAGCTTGGAAGATCGCGCGCTGCCGCGGTGGGCCGCCATGTACCTTGGCCAGATGAATCACTCCCCCCCCCCCCCCCCCATGAGAAAGGGCACCTAATGTAGCATAAGTATCGTCTATCAGAGCCATGATTAGAGGGTGGGTTGCTTCTTATCCTGATACCGGACCCGAACAAAAGTGCCCAAGAGAATGCCCCAGCTGTAGCTGAACCCTAAGCCCTAAAACCCTGAACAACAAACAGTTTGGGATGCAGGGCTCAAGGCCTGGACTTCAAGATTCGGTGTTGGGAGGCTAAACTCTGGTTAACTACCCCTCAAGAATCCCTCCACCTGCGGAGCCCAGCTCCCAAAGAAGCTGGACAAGCAAAACGATGCACCAGGTCACTCGCACATCCTGTCTTACAAGCAAGGGAAATTCCTACATTCCTGCAATCGACGGTCCTCGTTGCCCAGATGTACTCAGAAATCTCCCTCCGACCCTCCGCCCAGTTTCTTAAGATCCTAAACGAAGTAGGGCTTGTTTATTGCTAGCCTACAAATAAAGACCCGGTATGTACACGCTCACCAGTATCTATGTGCAACCCACATATACACCCACTCACTTCCGAACCAGGGCGCAGCGCTGTGAGGCCAGACTGACTCACGAGGTCGGGGTCTTGCGGGCGATGCCTTGAGTCTCCATAGGGTCTGGGTTGTGAATTTTGTAAAGTTTAGGGGTAGTTAGGGGTTATTTTTTAGCCATTAGGGTTGGGGGTTCAGGGCTCTCTAGATTTGCTTGTTTGGAGGGAACAACGGGAGATGGCCACTTCGCACTATGGATCATTCAACCCACATTCCTGCTCCATCTCTAAAGCAGTTGCTGGCATCCCGTTCTGCTGGATGGCCTCACCGTGCTTCTCTTTCCACTGTTGCAAATAGTGGGCCAGCTGAACAGGAAGATTCTCAAAAAACATCCCTGGTAGGTCTTCCGGATCGGGTTCCTACAGCCGGAGCGTTCGAATGGCATCCTGCTTCGCCTCTACACACGACTGCGGCGCTGGACCATTGTCGATCCGACTGCTGAGGCTGAGCATGGCTGCTTGCTGCCCCCCCCCCCCCCCCCCCCCCCTCCCGAAAAACCTGCAACTGGAGACCATCCCAAGAGTCTTGCAACTGAGGCACAAAAGATCCTCCACGGCATACACCTCGTCGCCCTCTGCTGCCTCTATCAAAGCGTCGACTTCTTCATCTGAGGCCTCTGGCAAAGAAGGGGAAGAGGTGTAGTGCTTATAACGGGGCGTATAGGGCTTAGGGCTTTTGAGGACGTTATGGAGTTTATGGCCTGATGGGGCCTTCTGTCGTACTGTGTCTCAGGTCTAGCTTGGAACCCCCGAGCCCTCAAACAAACGAACTATGGGAGATCCCGCCTCCTGCCAGCTCAGGCTCGTTGGCCCCATGTGGCTTAGGGTTTAGGGGGTTTCAGATTTCAGGCGCGCCTAAGTCCTAGAGAACCACCCTGAAGCCCGGCGAGGTGAAGGTGCTGTTTCGCCTACAGCTCTGGGCCAGTGAAGTAAAACCCGGAACTCCAACAAGCAAAACCGCACCTCCCCAAGCCCCCGAAGACCCAAGCGCCTTCTGAAGGGGCAGCAGGACGAGCTGTAGGCTGCCAGGCTCTGGCAGCACCTACAACAGGAGAAATAACAAGGGTGGATTTTAGTTCGGGTCGGTGGTCTTAGGGTTGTGGCATTTAGTGGCCGAGGGCGTTCAGGTTGAGCGGGTTAGGTTCTTTCTTTTTTTCAGGGCTTAGTGGCTTGGAGGGGTTACAAAGGTCGCGTCCCCGAAACCCAACAAACAAACATATCCGCCTAAATCTGAACGATACAAGGCGACTTCGTGCGAGGAAGGCCCAAGGAGTCTTGGGCTCCCAGAACCTTGCGGGTTTAGGGCTGGGCTTTGGGGGTGTATCGTTCAAGGATTCATTTGGGACCCCTAAAGCCCTTCAGCTCTTAGAGCCCCTACATGCAAGACCACCTGGTCTGACAAGAAGGACCCATCTTGGCAGAGGAGTCGGAGTCTGAACCTTTCACAGGGACTTACCGGACTTTAGGATGGGGGTAGGGGGGAGGGAGGGCGGGGCGGGGGGGGGGGGGGTTCAGGGGGTTTCAGTGGGTTTCAGGGGGTTTCAGGATCTAGGGCCTAATGATTTAGGAGCGGAGAAGAGGATCCCTCCGACACTCCCAGCAACATCCCGAGACCCCTAAAGGAGTAGAGTAGCTCCTAAAGGAGTAGCTCCTTACTCCCCCAATCTCCAAAAGGAAGCGGTCCTGCCTCGATGAGCAAGGTTTCAAGTTTAGTAGGGCTGCCCTTAAGAATTCTTTGTGACAGAAGCCTTGGACTCCTACTAGTAACCCTCTAAACAGGAGTGGGCCTGGGGTTTGGGGTATAGGGTAACCCCCATGAACCCCAAAACTCTAAACCGAGAATTAGGGGATCGGGTTGAGGAGACGTAGAGGGTTCGGGGTTTCAGTTTAGGACATATGCCCTTGGCGCGTTGAACGACCCTCCGCAAACTCGCAAGTCAATGATAAGGTTTAGGGCTGAGGGCCTAGGTGGAGGTGTTGGGGGGGGTTCGGGTCTGGGGTTGCAGAAAGAACCTTTCATGGCTCTGCCTTAAGAGCGTTATAGGCCCCCGAAGTATAGACAAGGGCAGCTTGTCGCTTCGGAGCCTGGAGTATTTGCAGATTTCGGCCACCATCTCCTCGCAGATGGTCGGCAGGAAGAGGTATGGAGGCGTGTGGGGCGCAGCTCGGCCCGACTACGATATGGGCACCCTTTCTTGGTTGAATAACAAGACTTCATTAATGGGGCTTGTCAGGGAACATAACCGAACAAGAAAGGAGGGAATAAGCCAGCGTTCTACGCTGGACCCAAAAAACATCAGCAAACTTTCCAAGGTCTTAGGGTGTGCAAGGGTCTTAGGGTGTCGGGTTTAGGGCTCAGCTTGGGAGCCTTGGGCCTTGCAGCTGCAGAAACACCTCGTGCCATGCCCAACCCTCATCAGCGCCCCCGCCCCCCCCCCCCCCCAAGCCATCAGACTCAACTCTCCTTGACGGTCCGAACCGGGTGGGCATTGTCCCGTGCGATGCTCTCCAGGTCCTTTCCGGCGAAGGCTTCGGGGTCCCAAGCCCTGTCCCCTCCTTTTCCGGGGAAGTATTACATGAGAAGTAGGTGTGTTGGTATTCTTGTGCAGGGTTTGGGAAGTTTGGGGAGTTTGGGTTAACTTGGTAGGACGGTTTGGCATTCTGCGGCAGCGCTGACACTTTGGAACCGCTACAATTGCTTCAAGCGGAACCCCAACACCCCTGAAGCCACAAGCCGACCAAGCCGAAAGGCATCTCCTCCGCCGTGAGCGCCAGGACCTCCGCTCCGGAGGCCATGTGAATGCGCAGCATGGCGGCGCAGGCCAACGGCCCCTAAACTTCAGCCATGTGTTATTTACTCTTACTTGTAGAACCATATTAACTATGGTAGCTAATGCTGAGTTTCCTCGAACGGCAGCCAGAGAAGGCCCTGTCCTGCAAGGCTTGGATCCTTGGTCTAAGCCGTCTTCGGCTTTTATGCGGAGCCTCACAGGCCCCCAAAACACTGTAGGCTTATAGGCTTTAAGTGGTATTTATGCATGGAGCTTTCTTGGCTTTACGGGACCAGCTGTTGGTGAGGATGCTGAGGGTTTTGGGGTTGAGGGTTGAGGGTTTACCGGGCTTCTGGCAGAATTCGGGTACCTAGAGCCTATATGGGCTTCGAGCCTCAGACTGCAAAGACGAAGCTAATGACCCCCAGATCCAAGCCCCTAAACCCTAAAATCCCCAAATCCAAATCCTAATCCTAAATCCTAAGCCCTAAGCCCCAAAACCCTAAACACTGAACCCATACACCCAGACAAGCCTTGAGGTTTATTGGGGGAGAGCGCATGGGGAGCTCTGTCTAAATGATGGTCCTTTGTTTGGGCATACCCTACACTCTAAATACAAGGCTCTGTTTAGAATAGGAAGTCCGCCTCCACACCCCCAAAAAAGGGACCATATTCTCGTATAGCGACCTCAAGGGTCTTGAGTTCAGGGTTTCGGGGGTTAGTCCCTGAACCCTATCCAAAAACCCTCGACTTCGCAACCGAAAACGTGGCTCCTGCTTCTTTGTAGGGGGGAGGGACTGCAGCAACTGATCTGCTTATGTTCAACTAAGATGTGGAACATGAAGCTCGGCACCCGCCCCGCCCTCCCTCTCTCCGATAACAGGTCCAACTCCCACGCCTCTCTCGCGCACCTGAAATCCCCTGCCATTGTACCAAGCCCCATCTTCAGGGGCGGGGTTCTCATTATATTAGTAAGAAGGCTCAGCCGACCTAACTTCGACCTACACCCTAAACCCTTAACCCTAAACCCTGAACCCTGAACCCTGAACCCTGAACCCTAAACCCTAAACCCTACCTAACTTCGAGGAGTGCCTACATGTCTCACCCGGCGGTCCACAAGGCCGGCTTGTAGCAGACGCTCCACTTCGGCGACGTTGCCATCCTACAGGTGAACTGGAATCATGGCTTGGGTTTATGGCGTTTAGGGTTTAGGGTTTAGGGTTTAGGGTTTAGGGTTGTTTAGGGTTTAGAGTACCGGTACATAGAGTCCAAGGCTTATAATTTGGGGTTTACGCTGCTTAAGGCATACGATTCAGGACTTTCGGGGCGGAGCTTTTTCAGCCTGGGGGCTCAGAGGCTTGTTGGGACCTAGAGGGGCCCCTGCTTAGCTCGATAGTAATCGGCAGTCGCAGCTCCACGACGACGACCTCACCCCTCTCCCCACAAAGTAAAGTAAGCACACACACAGAATATTAAGAAACACAGGCAAACAAAGCAAGCAAACAAAAACCAGAAGGGTTTAGGGTTAAGGGTTTCTTACCAGGGTTCAGTTACAAACCCATGAACTCTGGAGCAAAGCAGCTTGCGCAGATGAACGTTCCCGAAGCCAGAGAGCCGCAAAGATCCTCCAAAGAAAGAAGCAATCCCCGCAGAGGCTTCAAACCGCTGTAGACTAAACAGAAACAACCTCTGGACTCTAAGCAGCACCCTGTAACACTGTATACTGAAACCTAAGACCAAGGAGACCATTGATTGAGCCCGAAGAAACCTCTCCCACGAACCCCAATAAAACATAATAAAACCCTGAAGTATCCTCCAGCCCTACACATCCGTAAGGCCGTAAGGCCAGGCGAATCCGGCGCCTGTGCAGCGTCGTGGAGGGCCATTGGGGCGAAAACGCGGTGGATGGCGACTGGGAGGCTTTCGGAAGTCTTGTGATACGGCTGGGGGTCGGAGTTCACTGTATAGGATTTGTGGACGTTGAATTCAAACAGTTCTTAGCTCTGAGAGTACCTTCAGTGCTTGGCTAACTCGCGCTCTTATTTGCGTCAGAATTCCACCCCGCTAGTCCACTGCAGCATACGAAACTCGAGCCTGAAAAGCCCTAAGCCCAAAACCTAAGATACGCAGCGCTCGGGGGGGGGGGGCTTAGGCTGCACATGCCCACACACCGGTGTAGGTCTCGCGGATTGCGGAGGCCCGAGAGCCCAGTTCAGTCGTTGGGCACCTGAGCCTTTTAAGTGGAACCAAAACTGCAACCTTAAACTCCCAAGATATTCCGAAGTTATGAGAATGTGCGGCATCGCTTGAACCCCCCCATGTAAGGCTCTAGAGACGGTGGATGATCGAAAAACTGCATGATCTTGGTCGCGACCCAGTGCAAGTGCCGCCTGAATTGTCCATCCCCCCTGTCAATGTCGTTTATGGCGCCAGGTCATGCAGGATTTCTAGGACTTGAGCATGCAGCCTTGGACGCTTCGGCACATGCAAAATAAAAACTCGGGGCGCGCAGGGGACAGGCCTGCAACTGCAAAGCGATGCCGAAATTTTCGTGTCAACAGTAGGGGTGTATAGCTGCCGCTAATCCAGCCCAGGCTCTGTTGACTTCATCGTACTTGTCGTGCTGCACCTGACCGCGAAGGCCATGGGAAGGATGTGCGGCACGATTACTGCACTCGGATGTTACCTAAACGGAATCTGGCTTCAGGGTCGCTTTACAGGGTTTTGGGTCATGAGTTATCTATGCCTGTTTAGTAGGCACAGCACCATAGCGCAACGCCAAGCAGGACAACCCCAAAGTCAACCTCAAACCTTTTCTTGGATATGCAACAGTTTCCCAAAATTGTCCTGCAGAGAGCGCTGCTCTGGATGTAATCCTCTTGAAAAGCCGAGTCTGTCTAGATTAGTGGAACCCTCGCTGCTAAGCACATGGTCAACTAAGCCTTGAAGCCACGTAGACGATGTCAAGCTGATGGGTGCTCCGACAAAGGGACAAAACTGTTTTCGGAAATGTCGTAGCGAAAAGGAGTGGTCGAATCAACAGTATGAGGAATCATACTACAGGCTTCATGGCGGGTCCTGGCACATGGACAAACCACGCACGCTTAGAAGACTTCGGACGTCGGGATACTTCGGACACCTCGTGGCTTTTCCCGAAAAAGAAAGGTCATCTCACTAACAGTCTCGGAGAACAAAGGCTTCGGTAACCGAAGACTTCGGCAGCAAAATGCTCTGAATACTAGGTTACTAGGCATGACTCGGGTCAGCTGTGGAACATACTTTGCTGTCTTAGTGAGCGAGGTATGGCATGCAGCCGTACACTACAAAGACCCAACTTGCGGCCCCAAGTGCCACAGCATGACCGGATGGATCGGATCGATCACGAGGTGATCAGGACTGGAGAAGATTGCATTGAAAAATATTCACCGCTCAGGACGCAGAGGTCGCATCAGTCCTCGTAGAGCTGCCACATGGTGTGCTTGATCATCTGCTCGAGTCGGGCAGCCTGCTGCGGGTCCTGCACCGCTCTCACGAGACCGGGCAGGGAGAGACGGAAGGCATAGTCGTCAAGATATTCGTCGAATGCCTCGTCATTCATGAGGTCTTCGGAACATGCTCGTGTCGAATCCGTGTCTGTATCCCCTTCCTGGGATGCACAGGAACTGGTCTCATCAAAACTGCGTGCGATGAAGTCTTTCACACCTGCGCGCGAGAAGCCATCCAGCACGAGAATGTCTATGCCATGAGACTGCCGCACACGCATGGTCCACTCTGAAGCACGCTGAAAGCTGTTGTCTGACTGGGCCAGAATGCACATCCGAAGTTGCTGCTGCCCCGTCAGGCGCTCAAGTCCTCCGAGACCTTCCACGATGGGCTTTGCTTCACGCCAGTCTGCCAAGAGAAAGACGTTCTCCTTTGCAGTCCCCAGCCACTTGAGAAAGCCTGTGGACTTCTTCTGCAAGACCAACTTCACGCCGAAGCTTGCAGCTATGCCCTGTAGCTCGCCTAAGGTATCGCCGTGCTCTGCTTTCTTACACCTCTCATAGCACCATGCAAGATGACAACCTGATTGCACCTGTGTCCGGCAGGCGTGCGCGTGCGCAGAAGCCATTGCGGTCACAGGGAGGAGGCTTACAACTCTCGCAGGTCTACAGAAGCCAACTTGCAACAGCCACGAGCATCCATGCATGACTGCCGCTGTGCTGCAACTGACTGCGATATGGAAAAAGCTTTGTGAGGTGTAAACAATGCCCTCTAGTCCTCTGTTTTGGGATACACTATTTGCACGAAACATAAAACGGAACTACGAATATCTAGAAGTATCCCACATTAACCAAAACCGTCTCTGGCTTGAGGGTTGCGAATGCCTTGAAACTTTCACGACTTAGAGCAATCCATCAAGCCCTTGGGACAGAAGCTGCTCCTCATGCTTCTGCTGCAAGTCAAGAAACAGTATAGTCTTGGCGCTGGACAAACCACGCACGCTTAGAAGACTTCGGACTTCGGGATGCTTCGGACACCTCGTGGCTTTTCCCGAAAAAAGAAAGGTCATCTCTCGTAACAGTCTCGGAGAACAAAGGCTTCGGTAACCGAAGACCTCGACAGCAAAATGCTCTGAATACTAGGATACTAGGCATGACTCGGGTCAGCTGTGGAACATACTTTGCTGTCTTGGTGAGCGAGGTATGGCATGCAGCCGTACACTACAAAGACCCAACTTGCGGCCCCAAGTGCCACAGCATGACCGGATGGATCGGATCGATCACGAGGTGATCAGGACTGGAGAAGATTGCATTGAAAAATATTCACCGCTCAGGACGCAGAGGTCGCATCAGTCCTCGTAGAGCTGCCACATGGTGTGCTTGATCATCTGCTCGAGTCGGGCAGCCTGCTGCGGGTCCTGCACCGCTCTCACGAGACCGGGCAGGGAGAGACGGAAGGCATAGTCGTCAAGATATTCGTCGAATGCCTCGTCATTCATGAGGTCTTCGGAACATGCTCGTGTCGAATCCGTGTCTGTATCCCCTTCCTGGGATGCACAGGAACTGGTCTCATCAAAACTGCGTGCGATGAAGTCTTTCACACCTGCGCGCGAGAAGCCATCCAGCACGAGAATGTCTATGCCATGAGACTGCCGCACACGCATGGTCCACTCTGAAGCACGCTGAAAGCTGTTGTCTGACTGGGCCAGAATGCACATCCGAAGTTGCTGCTGCCCCGTCAGGCGCTCAAGTCCTCCGAGACCTTCCACGATGGGCTTTGCTTCACGCCAGTCTGCCAAGAGAAAGACGTTCTCCTTTGCAGTCCCCAGCCACTTGAGAAAGCCTGTGGACTTCTTCTGCAAGACCAACTTCACGCCGAAGCTTGCAGCTATGCCCTGTAGCTCGCCTAAGGTATCGCCGTGCTCTGCTTTCTTACACCTCTCATAGCACCATGCAAGATGACAACCTGATTGCACCTGTGTCCGGCAGGCATGCGCATGCGCAGAAGCCATTGCGGTCACAGGGAGGAGGCTTACAACTCTCGCAGGTCTACAGAAGCCAACTTGCAACGGCCACGAGCATCCATGCATGACTGCCGCTGTGCTGCACCTGACTGCGATATGGAAAAAGTTCCACTCTTCCTTGACAACCCTCTCCACAACCCTGAAAACCGTCTCGGGCTTGAGGATTGTGCAGGTTTGCGCAATCCGTCAAGCCCTAAGGACAAAACCTGCTCCTCATGCTGCTGCTGCTGCTGCTGCTGCTGCTGCTGCTGCTGCTGCTGCTGCTGCTGCTGCTGCTGCTGCTGCTGCTGCTGCTGCTGCTGCTGCTGCTGCTGCTGCTGCTGCTGCTGCCGCTGCCGCCGCCGCCGCCGCTGCTGCTGCTGCCGCCGCTGCTGCTGCCGCTGCTGCAAGTCAAGAACAGTATACATTCAACATGCAGCCTTACTGGCTTCAAGAGAGGGCCTTGGGGCGTAACAAAGCACGCTTATTAAAAGAAAAGCTGTCGCTGCCTGCCATGACATCGGACTACTTCGGACACCCCGTGGCTTTTCCCGAAAAAGAAAGGTCATCTCTCGTAACAGTCTCGGAGAACAAAGGCTTCGGTAACCGAAGACCTCGGCAGCAAAATACTCTGAATACTAGGTTACTAGGCATGACTCGGGCCAGCTGTGGAACATACTTTGCTGTCTTGGTGAGCGAGGTATGGCATGCAGCCGTACACTACAAAGACCTAACTTGCGGCCCCAAGTGCCACAGCATGACCGGATGGATCGGATCGATCACGAGGTGATCAGGACTGGAGAAGATTGCATTGAAAAATATTCACCGCTCAGGACGCAGAGGTCGCATCAGTCCTCGTAGAGCTGCCACATGGTGTGCTTGATCATCTGCTCGAGTCGGGCAGCCTGCTGCGGGTCCTGCACCGCTCTCACGAGACCGGGCAGGGAGAGACGGAAGGCATAGTCGTCAAGATATTCGTCGAATGCCTCGTCATTCATGAGGTCTTCGGAACATGCTCGTGTCGAATCCGTGTCTGTATCCCCTTCCTGGGATGCACAGGAACTGGTCTCATCAAAACTGCGTGCGATGAAGTCTTTCACACCTGCGCGCGAGAAGCCATCCAGCACGAGAATGTCTATGCCATGAGACTGCCGCACACGCATGGTCCACTCTGAAGCACGCTGAAAGCTGTTGTCTGACTGGGCCAGAATGCACATCCGAAGTTGCTGCTGCCCCGTCAGGCGCTCAAGTCCTCCGAGACCTTCCACGATGGGCTTTGCTTCACGCCAGTCTGCCAAGAGAAAGACGTTCTCCTTTGCAGTCCCCAGCCACTTGAGAAAGCCTGTGGACTTCTTCTGCAAGACCAACTTCACGCCGAAGCTTGCAGCTATGCCCTGTAGCTCGCCTAAGGTATCGCCGTGCTCTGCTTTCTTACACCTCTCATAGCACCATGCAAGATGACAACCTGATTGCACCTGTGTCCGGCAGGCATGCGCATGCGCAGAAGCCATTGCGGTCACAGGGAGGAGGCTTACAACTCTCGCAGGTCTACAGAAGCCAACTTGCAACGGCCACGAGCACAACTTCGAATGGCTCTTGGGCTTCAACTGCAGAAGCTGAACCCGAAACTCTATATAAACTCCATAAAGCCTATATACCCTACAAAACCGAAAACCCTAAAAGCCGTGTAATACACCCCACAAAAAAGCTACAAACCTGATAAGCCCCAAACCAAATACACCCTAACCGCAACGCCTCGGCCCCATCTCCCCCCTGCCCCTAAACCTTAAACCTTAAACCCTAAACCCTAAACCCCAAACCTTAAACCCTAAACCCTAAACCCCTAAACCCTAAACCCTAAACCCCCCCCCCCCCCCCCCCGCCGGCGGCTCGGGCATCTTGGCGGGATCGGTCTCCCCAATGATCAGACCTGGGGAGGACGCCACTTGCGCGCGTGGTCGGTTCTTTAACTTCATGGTTTGCATGGCAGACATGGTTTAGGGCAAAGTTTAGGGTATGGAGTTTCTAGGGTTTCAGGTGTAGGGGTCTATTTAGGGCCCACCCCAAGTAGGGTTTATACGGTTTAGGGCCCCTGAACAACTTTAGGGCGTGTGGGGAGCAACCTATACCCCTGCAAAGGGGAAGATCAGCACAAGCATTGACCGTGAGCTGAACTCTATAATCTATAAACCCAAGACTGTCACCCACCCCTAAGCAGCCTGCAGTCGTTCAACTTCGGGGTTTGGTACTAAGGGTCTTTGAGTTTAGGCGTGTTTATAGGGCTCAGAGATTTTCAGTTTAGGGATCCGAAAGAAGCACATACATACTTATGCAACCAACCACGCTCCTGTGAAGCCGCACGAACCAGGGGCTTTTCGAGGTTGCAGGGACTTTCGTGTTTGGGCTTTCGGTGCTCCCGCCCCCCAGGTCTTGTCTGGGGCCAGTGCGTAGGATGTTGCGCTTGTCGTCCTTCAATGCCCGTACTTCACTCTGTCTGCTTTAGGGTTTGGGGTCCCTGAATCTTAAACAACCAAACCCTAAACAAAAATGGAACTAAAGGAGGGAACCTTGCAAAGTATCCGTTCACCCTATGCTTGTTCCTTGACACTCTGCAAGTGGGCTTCAGACGGGGCCAAAGGAACCGCTCCGAAGCTCGAGAAGCAGGGAACCCTAAACCTTTCACCTGCCTTGAGGCTGAGGGCCTAGGCTCAAGGAACTCGAGAAACCCTTTGAGCGTTAAGCTCTGCGCCCCGAACCTCAAGGCCCCAAAGCCCCAAAACCCTGCAAGGGGCCTCATTGGAGGCATTCGCCGTGGCGATGTCGACCTTCACCCCACTACCTTGGTAAGTTCTAGTCTTGGCAAGGGAATACGCGGGTAGGGCAATTATTAGGGAATAACCCTAGGCTTAGGGCTCAGGGCATTCTAGGGTGCAAGGTTTAGAGATCCTAGACAGAACAGGTCTTGCCAGTTCTGCTGTGCTCGAGAGCCTTTGCAGCGCAACATCTGAGCCCCAAACCCTCAGCGCGAAGAAGTCCCAAACCCAAACCGTTAAGCCCTCAGCCCCGACAAGCCCTATAAACTGTTAAACCCGAAGAAGCCCTGCAAAGCCCTAAGCCCTCAATCCCTATAATGAGTCCTACAAACACTCTAAGCCCCAAACATCCCTAAACCCTAAACCCTAAACCCCAAACCCTAAATAAACCCTACTAAGAAAAATGGCTGAGGATCAAAGGGAATCCAGCACTCCGAGGCTCAAACTGGCCACCTCATTGGGGAACCAGGCCCCCTCGAAGGCTACCTCTGGAGAGGGCGCTACAAGGTTTGGGGCGTTTGGGGTTTGGGTTTTTTTTGGGTTTGGGGTTTTGTGGGTTAGGGTCTTTTTGGGTTGAGGGCGGGTGGGGGGTAGGGGGATTTAGGGGAGTAGGGTTTAGGGCTTAACGGAAGTCTTGGGCGTTTTAATGGGGATGGGCATGTCTAGCGCTTGCGGCTTTAGGGGTGGGCTTGGTTGGAGTTTGGGGTGCATCCTACCCTGCAAAACCTTCATGGCCCTACGCCCTCCTCTTAAACCCACCCCCTAAGCCCCAATCCTTGAACCTCACACACCCTCCACCCTCTTCAACACTCTTCGAAAGGCTCGCAGGGTTCTGAGTCGATATGAAGAATCGGGATGAAGGCTTCTTAGGTTGCCAACCAATGTTAGGGTTTAGGGTTTAGGGTTTAGGGTTTAGGGTTTAGGGTTTAGGGTTTAGGGTTTAGGGTTTAGGGGTGTTCGTCAGAGTCCATGATGCTTGGAGTGCAGAGCGCTCCGGTCTCCAGGCAGAAGTTGTAGTTCCGCTCTGTTGGAGCGCCCCCCTCCACGACATGTCCAGCTCCCATCCCTGCTGATGCACTGTTCCGAGTGCCCGCGAAGCTCCTGCCTCACTCTTGCGGGATTGATCCAGGTGTCATCATCGGCTGGCTTGGGTCTGGGATGGCATCCATGGCTGAACGACCCATGCGTTTGGGAAGTTTAGGGGTCTAGGAGTGCGGGTTTAGGGCTTAGGGCTTAGAGTTCCAGCGAAATTAGGGTTGAACGAATTAGAGGGTTTCTGTTGCTCTTCGGACGATCGTATGACACGAGTCGTATGCTGCAAAGTCCCATGCATACAAACCAACACACCCCTTTCAACCAACAAGAAGCACGGAGTCGTTGCAGCCACCTTGTCGATGAAGCCAGCAGCATCGTCTCCTTCAGTGGTGTCGGAGCGGATAAGGATCCAGGCCCCTTAAAGCCAAAAGGCACTCCTTGCTTAAGGTTCATAGAGCACAGCTACCGCAGCTCATCAGGAAGCCCTCGCGCCGAGGACTGGAGCACGCTCCTTTGACGCTCAAGTTCGCCGCACCGGAAACCTCACACGCCTAAGCCCCTAAGCCCGAAACCCCAAACTATGAGAGCTTCGGACCGCCCGCTGCAATCTAAAATGCATCCTCAAGCCCCTCTGTGGAGAAGCAAGCCTGCACACCCAAGCTCCGAAAACCACCCTAAACCCCAAACCCTAAACCCTAAAACCCGATAAATCCCAAACCCCACGCATCCCAAACCCTACACCCTACACACCTTGCTGTAGCAGCGCAGGGCTTCTGGGCACCTCAGTGCTCTCGCGCGCGCAGCGTGAGGGGGTTAGGGACTCTTCAGGGCTTTCATCCGCAACTTCTGGGTTTAGGAGTTTATAGGGAAATAGGGTTTAATGGGCCGGGCTACATAAGGTGTATAGGGTTTACAGGCCAGGGTTTCTAGGCAACTCATGGCACTTGGTGGGTGTAGGGTGTGCGTTCAAGTCCGTTCAAGTCCATGAAGAGCCAGGTTTGAGGTCTTGATGCCCTAGACCTCATGCTCTCGGTTGTCTGTTATCGATACACAGGCTGTTTACATGAATCCATGTATACCTATAGGATGTAAAAGGTATGCCGCATGCCTTTTCACCATCCCCCTGCATCCCCCCAAGGTGGTTCGCAACCATAATGCAAC